GATCACCAGCGGTTTCGCGGGAGTGGATCTTGAAGGTATAATCTGGGTATCGTTCCTTCAGGGCTGCAAGAACAAGATCCGTTTGGAGAAGAGCGAGTTTGGATTTGCGCGTGCCAATTGTGAAGATCTTCTGAGACGCGGGGTCTGCGGAGGGTGGCGGGGCTTGGGTAGTCATTTTGGCGACTGGGCGTGGGATATAACAGCTGTCCGCGCGGCAATAAAGAAGACAAAAATATGCCTTCTTTTGTAAATGATATAACCCGGGGGGCGAGAAGGCGGCTGAGTGGCTGAACAGGACGGATGACAGGAGCCGAGTTTGTCGACTGATTAATTGTATGGTAGACCCGTCCAGCGGCAGGCGGTTCCGTGTATGATTGAATACGGGCCATGTGCATCTGTTACAAAGTATTACGCAATTCTAAGCTGTGCCTTACCATGTGATACGCCGCCAATACACCGCGGAAACCCCGAGACAGGCGAATCGCCTCACTCAGTCGTTTCCGACAGTTTGATGGCTTAAACAAATTTGAGCGGAGGAGTATACGTTTGACCAAAGTTGAATAGCAAAGATAGAGCTAGTCGGGTTTGGATGCATATGTATAAAACCAATTATTTTACTCGCGTGAGAGCCGATGCGTTCGTTCCTGCGGAGAAACTGACGTAACGACGAACCTCGGCTTCGGAATAGGCTTATCTCTCAGATTAGTCTTCACGATTCCCCCAGAATCCCCGACGGACTCATCCACGGAGTTCTGGAACCTTTTGCCAACAACCTTATAAGCAGCCGGCCCTCCACCTTCCGCCCCCGTCCTCTGACCTCCTCCACCCTCGAATCCCAACACCCTATAATTATTGCCATTTTTCGGACTTCAACCCTCCACTTGCAACCTCTAGGCTAGCTTAACCATCTAGCCACCCAAGATGGGTTCCAACGGGGGGAAGCCAACAAAGCTATCCTTGGTTCCGCTTCCTAAGGGTTCTGTCTTACTACCCGGGGCGACCTTGCGAATTCCAGTCTCGAACCGGCCGGATCTTGCCAATCTCCTATCCTCGTTGCTCGATCGTACGCATACGAACAAGCGAGATGCGAACTCCATAACGTTCGGCTGCGTACCCCTCTGCTCACCATACTTGACCAAGGATGGCCAACGCGTGATCGATAACGGTGCGGTGAATGAAGATACGAAAGAAGAATTCGAATCTATCGATGCCGGCCAAGCGAGGAAGGAAGATCTGTATCGTTACGGCACGCTCGGAAAGGTTATTGGTGTTCAACGTCGTGCCTACTCTGAGCCTCATCTATTAGTTCAAGGTGTGCAACGTCTTACGATAAAACGCGTGCTCAAGGAACGTCCATTCTTCGAGGCGGAATGTATTTTCCACGACGAGAAAGGTAGGCTCCTTAAACCCCCGCTTCATTCAAATACCCTTACTTAGCATTGACCTTGAAATATATAGAGCCAACGCGGAACGATGCAGACATTGTAGAGCTGTTTGAGCAACTAAGGCATTTATCGAAGGAACTCCTTACCCTGCTACGATACACCTCGTTGATCCCGAATTCAGGAGGGCCCCGGTTGTCACCCATCATCGCGCGCAAATTTGAGTTGATCATAACCAAGTCTGACTTGGGTCAGGCTGGAAGACTCGCGGATGTTATGGCTGATATTGCCGAGTCAAGCCTTGAGGAAAAACTTCGCGTTCTGGCAGCACTGGACGTAAAAACCAGATTGGAAAGAGTAGTTGACATCCTGAGCAAGCAGAACCAGAACATTCGTGGCAATGTCAAGTTCACTACGGTCTCGACAGATAGCGTTCCTCAAGGACCTATGGTCGATTTAGGCCAACTAGATCCTCGAATTCGAGAACTACTATCCAAACGTGGCATTTCCGGCGGTTCAGGGAACCCCCCACCCGGATTGGGGGGACGGAACAATGACTCAGATGAAAAGGAGTCTAACGAAGTTGATGAGCTGCAGCAAAAGCTAAAAGATGCTCAACTCAGCCCTGAGGCTCAGAAGATTGCTGACAAAGAACTGCGACGACTTCGGAAGATGATGCCAGTCAACCAGGAATACGGGGTAATCAGAACTTATCTCGAGAATCTTGCAGATATCCCGTGGACCAAGGTGACTCAAGATAAGCTCGGCCCAGAGACTTTGAAACTTGCACGAAAGCAGCTGGATGACGACCATTACGGATTGGACAGGATCAAGAAGAGATTGCTAGAATATCTTGCTGTTTTGAGACTCAAGCAAACAACAAATCAGGATATTGAACGCCAAATCGCTGCCTTAACAAGCGAGTTGGATAACTCTGGTGGGGATATTGAAAAGGATATTCCATCTTTACCTGAGTCGGACCGCGCTGCTATCGAATCAAAACTACATATGCTAACATCCAGGCGTATGACCGATAAATCCCCGATTCTTCTTCTTGTTGGCCCTCCAGGAACTGGAAAGACCAGCTTGGCGAGGTCGGTGGCCGCTGCTCTTGGTCGAAAGTTCCACAGGATATCTCTTGGTGGTGTACGGGACGAGGCTGAGATCAGAGGACATCGACGAACGTATGTCGCTGCTATGCCTGGTTTGGTCGTCAACGGGCTCAAGAAAGTTGGCGTTGCTAACCCTGTGTTCTTGCTCGATGAAATCGATAAAATCGGCGGCGCTAATTTCCAAGGCGATCCATCTGCAGCAATGCTTGAAGTCTTAGATCCTGAGCAGAACCACACTTTTGTTGATCATTACATCAACATCCCCATTGATTTGAGCAAGGTTCTTTTCCTGGCAACAGCAAACTCTCTTGATACAATCCCTGCTCCTCTCCTCGATCGAATGGAGACTATCCAGCTATCTGGTTATACAACTGTTGAGAAGAGGCACATTGCCAAAAGACACCTTATTCCCAAGCAGATCAGAGCAAATGGTCTTACAGATGGCCAGGTTGTCCTGTCAGACGATGTGATTGACAAGACTACCACATCCTACACCCGAGAATCTGGCGTCCGCAACCTCGAGCGAGAACTTGGCTCCATTTGTCGCTATAAAGCGGTTCAGTATGCGGATGCTGCGGACACCGCTAAGGTTGAGACGTATAATCCCGTTGTGACCGTCGATGACTTGGAAGAGATCCTAGGAATCGAGCGATTCGACGAGGAAATTGCCGAGAAACACGGCCGTCCAGGTGTCGTTACCGGTTTAGTCGCATATTCAAGTGGTGGACAAGGAAGTATTCTATTCATCGAGGTTGCCGACATGCCAGGAAACGGTCGCGTTCAACTCACCGGGAAGCTTGGAGATGTCCTCAAGGAAAGTGTCGAAGTCGCTCTCACTTGGGTCAAGGCTCACTCTTTCGAACTTGGCCTGACTCCCGACCCTAACGAGGATATTATGAAGAGTCGGAGCTTGCATGTGCATTGCCCTTCGGGAGCCATTCCTAAGGACGGCCCCTCTGCCGGGCTCGCACACACCATCGGATTGATCTCACTATTCTCAGGCAAGGCTGTCCCTCCCAAGCTCGCAATGACCGGTGAAGTCTCTCTTCGTGGGCGTGTGATGCCCGTTGGTGGTATCAAGGAAAAACTTATCGGCGCGCTGCGGGCGGGCGTAACTACCGTTCTGCTTCCACACCAAAACCGAAAGGATGTCAAGGATATCCCTGAGGAAGTCAGCAATGGCCTTGAGATCATCTATGTCAAGTATGTCTATTTTCACTCATGTTTGGTTGAGGTCTTTACGTTACTAATCTTAAATTCTAGGCACATTTGGGAAGCTATTCGACACGTTTGGCCCGATGCCCACTGGCCCGGCCAGCATCATATGAACTTTGTCGAGAGCCGTCTGTAGTATATTGCTTCCAACCCGTTGCACTGTCCTTTATCCTCGTTACTTAGCCCAGTTGCAACGTTTTATGTAGCCTTGACGTTCTGTTTTGATTTCTCTCGTTTTCTCATCTGCACAGCTCCACTCTATACGTAGCATCTGGTACCTTTTCGCAGCCTTACAATTATATATCTTTTATTATTTTCAGGTCCCCTCATATATACTTTGTCCGGTCGCCTTGCATATATTCGGCCCTGGTACATTACGGATCCGTATATATATATATATATGTTGATATGTATATTTATGAAACAACAGATATAATACAAGCATGACCAGGCAGTTAATACAGCACCAGAAAGAAAGGCAACCCATTGAACAAATACATCCCTAGACCTCATTCCTAACCACAGAAAACCGATCATACTCCTACAAGCCTTTCTGAGGGTCTCCATCCACATTTATCTTATGAGCTCCCCGAAAAAGGTCCCTTAGCCGATCCAACTGCCGGTCTGTCATAATTCAATCCCAAAGCCTGCCACGTAGGCCTCCATGGCTTCTCACCACTCAGCAACTTCTTGGCCTCCGCATCAAACGCCTCACGAGACTCCTTGTCCGGCTGCATTCCCGCGTCTGGTCGTTGCGCCTTCTGGATCTGATCCTGATATTTCGCGGCCTTGAAGAATTGGTCCTTCTCCCACCTACGCCCAAAAAAGTAAACGTTAGTAAGGTGCACAATCTCAACGCATTAATCGCCATCCCTCCTCAAATTCCAGAATGACAAATATACATCCAACAAGGGGATAAACGTACGCATCCATGTTCTCCGGAGTTTCGGGCCAAACGAACGGTTCCTTCATCTCAACAGTCATCCTCTTCTTCGAGGTCGGTCGTCGCAACTTCCCATATCCATATTTTCCTTGTGGTCTGAGACGCGTGACCTTCTGTTGCTCAACATAACTACGTATACTGAGGACGCCAACTCCGTACAAACGTTGTAGGTAGTCGCGCATATCGAGCTTATTGAAATTCAAGGGGACGTAGAACGAGGCATATCGGGGCGGGAGGAAGGGCGTTCGGATGAGAGCGACTGTAAAGTTGGGGCTAGAATTTGTGCAAAATTAGATGAGGACCGGGGTATTGAGGAGCAAGGCTTCCAGAGCTGGCGAAGGAACATACAGGTATATCTGCTTGCGCTGTGAGAGTGGTGCGTTCGGCGGGAGCCAGCCGGCGGGCTTCGCGAGTAACTTGGACCATTTTCGGACCATTGTGGCGATTTAGATCCCGAATCAAGAGAGGACGGTTTTTGAAAACGGGTATTGGAGTGGTGTTGGGTGTTTGTTGAGATAGAGTGAAGGTTGACGGTCTTTTGAGATTGCGGAACTTTTGCAGATCAAAACTGCGTGGTTGGCCGCTTCACGGGCCGTAGCCGATTTTTATAGATTCTCCAGTATGTAAAGAAGTAGTGGTCATAAAATTCTACATTGATTTTCAAATTCGATCAAGAATGAGTTAGAATCTATATTTTTCGATCATGACAGTCATTAATATTAGATTGTGTAATTGTTGTCCCATCTGGGCGGCAACAAGAAGTTCACGACACATGCAGTTCCTTCAGTTTTTGAGAACTCTCATCCAAGCCATCGCGTTGCGAATCTTCGGACACTAATGTATTCTTTTTCCCTTTCGTGTCGCTTTGATCCCCAGAGTTGTCATCCTCCGACCCTGACCCCTCTGAATCTTCCTCGCTCTCGGCGCCTTCATCGTTTTCCTTATGGTCTCCGTCAGCACCAACTTCCTTCATGTATTTTTCAAGCTCGCGTGCCATCTTTCTTGAGAACCCAGAAGCCTCCACATCAACATCAAGCCTTTTGCCGGGATTTTTTAACATCTGTTTCTTCGCTTCAGAGAAGAACGGCCCTGGTACATCGCTCACGAAGTGGAACTTCCGTTGAAAGTATCGCTTGATGCAGTTCACATCGCGATCGAAATACATTTCAGCATTGGCATGGTCAATCGATACCATCTGTGGAAAATCGATCAACACCGGGATCAATTTGAGGTTTTCGTCGTCTTCCTCCCCTTCGTCCGCCTTTCCCTTCCCTTTCGCTTCCGGATCCTCGACTTCCTTGATAAGAATATTGAACTCGTTGAAATCCCCGTGAATCAATCCATAACGAGCCAACCGCAGAATCATATCCATCAATTCAGAGTACAACAAAGCCGGATCGGGGACCTTGGAGATTTGCCGGAGCGGAAAGGCATCGATCAAACTCATCACGATCGTGTGTCTGTTCTGGGCAATAGGCTCCGGTACTGAAAACCCATTCTCTCCCAATGTTTTCATGAAGGCGTATTCCTTCATCGCGGCCAAACGCGACATGTACATCCATGATCCCGTGCTTCGGTTTCGTAGATAGTCGCGGTTGGTCTTCACTGTTCGAAACGAGATACGGCCAAGTCGATGGATTTTCAGAATTCGCTGTGTCCCCTTGTGATTCGCAACAACTATGATGTCCGATTCTTTTCCGACGCCGATCTGGTTGCCGACAGAGTATATGCATTTTTGCTTTTGGTGAGCATTGAGGGCCAAATAATCAAGACCGCCGTACGTGAGTCGATATCCATCATCTTTGGTAAAAGGACATCAGCATTAGGGAAAAAGTGACAGATATACAAGAGTCGTAGATAAGCATACATTTTGCGTTCTTCACTTTCGCAATCAGGTTTGTCTTTGCAAGGTTTGAGATTGAACGGTTTACGCCGCTACCGCCTCGCAGGCCGGAAATCTGGGCAATCAAAGGGGTCGGTACAACTTCATGGTTTTTGCTTCCTTGTTCGACCTGAAGAAAACACTTCTATCAGTTCTCCGCTCTTTACACGCGCTGCGTCAAAGTTTCTGGCAATGCGGGGAGATGAGGGGTGAACAAGGCATACTGCTGCAAGCACACGGAAGTCTTCTGAAGTCAGGTAGCGGATGGCCTTCGGATCGAGCTTCATATCGAATGTCTCTGCTTCTGGAACTAGCGAAATAGCTGGACAAGATGTTGAGCTCTTTTGTCGTGAGATCTTGTCGGGGCAATGTTGCGGCAAAATTTGGGATTTCTTATCGCACGTGCCCTATACCCTAACGACGGATCGGGAAATGTTTGACTTCTTATCTAAATACGACATGAAGAACAATGTTGATATTGCACGGACTACCCTACAAGAACGTAGACATTGGTAGAAGCATATTTGTTTAGGAGATCATTTGTCTACTATATTTTCAGGCTTTTCTGAATACATTAGACCTAAACTGTATAGAGGCGCTTGACATTGCGCCGTCTCTATCTCACTAAATACTATCCGAAGAATACTGCCATTTGCTTAGGTGGAGCTTTCTTCTACCCAGTCAGGATTCTAAAAACGGGTCAGCAGAGTCCATGTGGGATAAGAATACAGAAATATGTGGAATTAACATACCTTGCGCAGAATAACCAGCCCTTCTAGGGTGCTGCTAAGAGGAATGTACTGCTCATCCTCTAGCTCTGCCCGCTCACCATAAGAAAGTAGCACTGGTGTGCTCTGTGTCTGCCAGCCAGTGATCGTCTTGGGGCGACCTGCCTGCCCAACAACATCAACAGCCTGACCCACACGGACATTAACGGGAAGGGGTTGAAGCTCCTCGTCAAGTGTGACAAGGAATCGTGGGTACATGGCAGTTATGAGGAAGTAAAGGAGGTAGTGGTGTTCGGCGAGAATGAATTGCTTCGCATCAATCAATGATACTAGCACGGTAAGCAAACCAGCAGCCGATACTCGGCTTAGCACCTGGCGATCGGTGTGGAATGGGTTGAGCGTCATGGTGCCCTTGCCCATGTGCAGTAGACCTTGAGCAATGCGGACCATAAACAAAGTGTTCTGATCGCGATGATAATAGCTGGCCAATTGCCGTAGAAGCTGTGCCAGACGCGAGTTCTTTGTACCTGCACCACAGAGACCCATAGCAAAAATGGCATTGATCGCAACGTCATTGTCGTTGTCGTGACTGTATCTGGATAACGTATCGTACACCTTCATCTGGGGGTTGCTCGGGCTAATCAGGCCCATGGCAAGGGGAACGGCCTTTCGGATGTTGCTGGCACCGTAGTGCATCAAGTGGCCGAACTGCCTGAGAATCATGTCTTGCCCAACATCTTCACCCATGGCAATCAATGACAATCCCAACACAGCATAGGATTGAACAAGCTCATCGCCCTTCTTTTCGTCACTTTCCTCAATAACGTCGTTGCAAATGTGGAGAAGCTCCTGTAGCTTCAGGACAGTGCCGGTACCCGCCCAAGCACATACCGAAGCGAGGACAGAGGTGGGTTTGGCCATGGGGTGATCGACCGCTTTGAGAATATCGAGGATCACGTCGACTTCCTCCTGGCGGCCGAAGTAAAGTAGCGCTAGACCAAGAGCCATGAAGCGAGTCCACTTATCCTTGAGATGCTTTTGGCGCTCCTCATCCATGAGGGTGGTGGCGATCGCCTCGCTGACTTGATGATTTGAGGAGCCGACGAAGATAAGACCAAGTGAAACAGCTGCCATTGCAGAGAGTTGCATGTCCAGAGATACATCTTCGACAATAGGCAACAGAACTTCAAGAAGTTCCTCTTTGTTTGAACCAGCGTATGCTAGACCAAGACCCATGATTGCAGCGACTCTCATTGGGACATTCTTCGCTTCCAAATTGTCGGTGTCGCTCAGAAGTGCCAATGCAGGGTCTGAATCAATGCGCACACCCGAGTTAAGGATACCAATAGACAGTAGAGCACCGGCTTTGATTTGGTCCTCGGTGGCGTAGGTGTACTTATCGATCTTATCCAAACCAATTTCAACATCGCGATGGAGGAGCATACCCATCGAGGCGGTGGTGGACAACATGCCATCGTCCTTTGTCTTCCAAACCCAAGGACCCTTATCACCTTCAACAAGCATCATCTCATCATTGCCAAATCCAGCGTTCGCGAATCCGTTAACGAAAGCGCTTGCGAGGTTGTGCCTGGCGGAGTCAACATTGGTGAGGCCTGCTCCTCGACTGCTTTCCAAATGTGTCTTGTAGATGTCCTCTGGCATTATCGGGTCGAGGATGTTAAGTTCTTTCCCGAGCGACTTGAAGTGTTTTGGAATTGACGTGTTGTTCAAGCAATCCATAAAAGTTTGGTCTTCCTCGTCATCGCCCAGCTGGTCGAGCCAAATTTGTTGCCTGGAAATGAGGAAAGCCATTTGCTTTTTAAGCGACTGGTCCGACGTCGCGTTCAAATCGCTCTTGATGAGATCGACATCATTGAGGCGGATAGCAAGCACGATGGCCTTTGTGAGTTCCTTGTAGCGAACATAGATCTCGTGCGCCGTGCGAAGGAATTGTTGATCCTCAGGGTACGTGAGGAGGTTTACCATGCTGACCATATACAAAGAAACTCTTGAGTAAGTGTTCTCATCAACAAATCGAGGAATTTCCTCAATAATTTCAAGCTCACTCAACAGGTCAACCGCGTCGGCTTCCGCATTATGGCCTAGGAAGTACGGGACAAGGGAGAGGGCGAGATCGATCAAATCCTGCACATCCTTCTCAGCATTCAACCTGTTTTGGTACTCCTGTCCGATTTCTAATGCAAGATGTCTGACGTATTCGTGACCCCACGAGCCGAGATCTTCGGATTTGGCAAGGAGCCGATATTTGAGCGTTTCGAGTTTCTCTTCGTCACCGTACGTCATCCCAAGAACAGACAGCATATCCGCCAGAGAGTCCTAGAAAAATAAAATCCATCAGCTTCCGAGCGCAAATACGGCGCCAAACAAACCAACCTTTGTCGCACCGGCCGACCACTTGTCGTAGAGGGCTGCCAAGTCATCGTAGTGTGGTCGCAGGAACTTCAGAGGCTTCGGAACCGCCGTCATAGATGAGGTTGAGGTCTTGATAAAATTCTTGATGGCATCCAAAGCAGGTGCGTAAAGGGAGGTATCGGGTTCCTAGAGTGAAGCATATCGTTAGCACCGACAGATTCAATAGCAAGGCGCACCCCATCATCATACCTTTAACCGCTCCACGAGCATCTCGAGTTCGCTCTTTAGCTGTTGATCCTCCTCACTTAGTTCCTCTGCAAGAAGAAGAAAAAAAGGAAAATCGTTAGACAACATTTCATGATTGGGGACGAGAAGGGAATTCTGAAGGTTCCCGTTTGACAACGTAGGAGCTACTTACCATCCTCGGGGTTGTCATCCTTCTGTTTTCCGTTGGCTTGCGTCTTATCTTCAGGCTTGTCTTTCTTTGCTCCAGGAATGTCCTTCACATCATCGACCTTGCCCTTGCCTTTGTCGGCCGGAGCTGACTTCTCGCCTTCCTTCGCCATGTTCGATGGCTATCTGGCGTGAATGACCTGTGTTGAAGTGCGGGATGTGTGGTCAGCTGAAGTGAGGTGGAGAGTGGTGAAACAAGATCACAGAGAGATACAGGGAAGTGTCTGGGACCCGGGAAACTCAGTGATGGGGTAGAATGTGATTCATAAGCTTGTTGATGGAAACAGAGAGCTCTGCCTCGTCGCCGTTCGGTCGTTGCGCCAGTGGAGCTCTATCGACTTATGTAATCCAAAATTTGCCAAGACACAAACGCCGGGTTGACGTCACGTGTCACGTATATATCACGTGCTGGAAACCTATAGAAAGGATGCTTCAGGTTTTTACATCAATAAAGTGTATAGCTAATTAAAATATGGGATAAAATATGTCGTGCATTTACTCGGGAAGTGATTAAACTTCGCAGAACAAGTCTTCCGCGTTCCCGCCGCTCCCCGAACCCTCTCGGCAACCTCCATACCGCACTTTGAACTTTCCCCGATATTCTTCTGTTTCTTGATAAAAAAGAGACTCTGACATTTCTTCCCCTCGATATGACAATATGGGTAGGTGAGTGATATCGGGTAGGTCCAGTGAGAACGCTTCGAGATGAGTCATCAGAGTAGAAGCTTTGCTTAGCGGTTTCTCAGGAGCCGAGGACTCCCCAAGAGCTTCAGAAATAGGAATATCGGGATTGTCCGGGGAGAATTCATCTGGTTGCCGGAACAGCTCGTTGTGGAAAGTTGCAAGTGAAAACCGGCCTTTATCAGAAAAGGCCGGATAGAGTAGATAGTATCCCTTCGCACGAAGGAGTTCGAGTAGGGGTTCCAGAAAGGCAGGATACCTTTTTGAGATAATCTTTTCTTCCAGAGGGTTGCCAGAATCTACTTCTCTACTCACAAGCCGCTGGCTGAGAAAAGAATGCAATTCAGCCCACTTGTCACCAAAATATAGCGCGGCGTTACTATTAGGCGCCTGCCATAGAAACAAGGGCAGTGCGTCTGGAGTGTTGTTATCCGAAAATCGTGTAAGGCCAATTTGGAGTTGTTTGAAATGTTCGATATTGGAGAGTGGTAATGATGGAAGTTCTAGCGAGATTCCCATTAACCTGGAAGGTAGCATGCTTGAACGGATCGAGTATCTGTACTTTAGCATGTTAAACACCAAGTAATGATAGAATGATGGTGCTAGTTCCATATGTGGCGAGAGTACAAGAACATGCGAGAGAGTGAGGTCTTTTGGATAGAAAGCCTCAACCGCGCGTAGAGAGGCTTCACCGGGACTTATCCGATGTGATTGGATTCGTCGGCGAAGTGTAATTTTGCCAGACGTGTTAGGAAGCCATTGCATGCCCTTCAGAAATTGAAGAAGCTCAGAATCAACGCGAGAAGGTAGCTCAATTGTTAAACTGGGGCTGAAACCAAGAAAATCGGCATGTTCCAAAGATTTTATTAATCGTACGATGGGCCCTGCGGAGTCAGGAGCCGCATAAATGAGGAACTCGACATGTATATCATTCCAATCTATTTTTGAATTTTTTAGCATAGGGAATATAGTATAACGCACTGCGATACTTACTTCGAAGAGCATGGCTGTCAAGAGTAGCCATCCACATGAGCTCTCTTGCCCTACGAGGCAAGGCAATATGTGGTATTCCAATATTTTGAGATTCTCGTATGCCTTGTGTGAAAAACAGGTCTTCCAAGAGCTCTCCCTGTGTGATCAGAACTTGTGGTCGAAGATATGCCTTAATGTAGGGTAGTGCAGTAGTTATAGCTTGCTCCATGCGACCATCCGTTGACCACTGAGCATAATCGGGACGAGCATCTACGGGAAATACTCGCATATTAGTAGGTTGCTAGGAAGAGACAGAAAGTAAAATAGCGCTCACCATGCCAATTCATTGGACAACTCACATCATCCAAGCCGTTGACTCGCTGTATTCCCTCAATAGAGACATCGTCTCTTCCCATTAATACAAAATGTATTGTATCCAGCTTCTCATTCGCCATGCGACATGCAAGAGGCAAAAGATCGGACACGCTTCCCAAGCTCCCAGCTGCGAATACCGTTGCGTTGAACGGGCTGTTTGCAACATGACTCCGGAAAGGTTTCAGACTTTTCCCTAGGTTGTAGAAGTGCAATTTCCCCTCATAATATAAACTATTATTATCTCCGGTATCTTGCCGTCCCTGTGGGGGAGACTCAGACTCAGGCATCGTCGGAGGAAGAGGTGTATCAGGCACGATATGCTGTGATGGTGCGAATCTAGACTTCGGCCGATCCCAGGCGGGGCCAATGTCTGTTGGCATGTTCTTAAAGAACATAAAGAAAAGGTATAGTATCACGGGGATCAGAAGCAAACGTCGGCGTCGAGGAAGCTTCCACGACTCTGGCTGCCATCGCTGGTCGGCACGGGCATGAGGCCTGTGGTCGTCATCTTTCTTCCCAAGCTCTTCATCAGCTGGGAAGAGCCGTTTGGAGGTTAACATGGTTTAGACATATGAAGAGCGGCTCCCAGGGAGCTTGAAGATAGCAGAACTTCATCGACGAAGAAACATGTAACGAAGCTCAATTACGAAAGATATGGATGAATACGAATAGGTGGACGATTGCAGTCTCACGTTTCCGGCGGAGGGCTGGATCTTGGGGCTGCTAGGGAAAGGAGCTCCACCTCCAGGCCCACTTTTGAGCATGGATGCTCCCGTCTGCCAGCGAACCTGTGCTCAACTCGAAGGCTCCATTGTCACTTCACTCTTTTTAGGCTTAAGCCATGCCCTGACCAAAGAACTTGGTGACAGCTTGAGAATGTCCCTAAAAAAGCTTCTACTCTGTGTTTGAAGGAAATATAATCTAATTCTGTCAGCACAACATAGTGGATCGTACGTGCATCATCTACTGATCGATTGGGATTAATACGAGTGGCATCCGTCTATTTTAAGGCAGGTTGACAGAAATATATCATACCTGGGATATTACTTGTACTCCATCTCTCCATCACGATGCCCCAGGCCGTTGGCGTTGTATTTGGTGGGTCGGCATATCTTTTCTCCGCTATTTCTTTCCGGGAATATCTCCGAAACGGATCAATATCATCGAGCCCGACCATCTACAAACAACACGGAGATCCGTCCCAAAATTTCGACATTCGTGTTATCCGTTATGCTTGTTATTTCGCAATTAACATAGGCATTGTAAATGATCTACGGGGGCGACAGAGATTATCCGTTCAGTCATGGAGCCTGAAATGGACGTTGACATCCCCGAGTCTCGGGGCACCAAGCGGCCTATTGATGATACCGAGGGCGCTCGTAAACCTAAAAAAATCAAAGTGAGCTACTTTCGTCCATATCACTGGGCAATCAAATGACTCATTCAATAGGCCCTGGATCCGGATGTTGTGAACAAAATCGCGGCCGGAGAAATTATTGTGGCTCCCATGCACGCACTGAAGGAGCTAATAGAGAACGCGGTCGATGCAGGGTCGACTTCCATCGAGATTCTTGTGAAAGAAGGAGGTCTTAAACTTCTTCAGATTACCGATAATGGCCACGGAATTGAAGTATGACAAGCTCATGTAAACCATAATATTCTGGCTAATTTGACTTCACAGCGAGACGACCTTCCCATTCTCTGTGAGAGATTCACAACCTCCAAACTGAAAGAGTTTGAGGACCTCACGTCAATAGCCACATACGGGTTTCGTGGCGAGGCGTTAGCTAGTATCAGCCATATTGCCCATCTAACTGTAACCACGAAGACCGCCGAGTCGAGCTGTGCGTGGAGAGCTCATTATGGAGATGGAAAGCTAGTTCCTTCCAAGCCAGGGCAGAACGCTGTCCCAAAAGCCACCGCGGGCCGTGGAGGTACACAGATAACAGTGAGTAATACTAGTACGTCTTGGAGGATAGTCACACATCTAATCCCAATAGGTCGAGGACCTGTTTTATAATGTGCCAACTAGACGCAGAGCATTCCGCTCAGCCAGTGAAGAGTACGCCAAGATCCTGGATGTAGTTGGCCGCTATGCAGTGCACTGCTCTGGTGTTGCTTTCTCTTGCCGCAAACATGGCGATGCAGGCGTCAGCATTTCAACGGCAGTTGCTCTAAATACCACTGACAGAATTCGTCAAATTCATGGGAGTGCAGTGGCTAATGAACTGGTCGAGTTCAGCGTCCAGGATGAGAAGCTGGGTTTCTCTTCATCTGGATTGGTCACGAATGCAAACTACCACGTTAAACGAACCACTATTCTTCTTTTTATTAACCATCGCGCAGTCGAGTCTACCCCCATAAAGCGAGCCGTGGAGCAGACATACGCAAGTTTCTTACCAAAAGGTGGACATCCTTTCGTCTACATTGACCTCGAGATTGAACCACACCGGTTGGATGTAAACGTCCATCCTACAAAACGGGAAGTAAACTTCCTCAACGAGGACGAAATCATCGAGAGCATTTGCGCGGAGATCAGATCGAAGCTGGCGCAAGTTGACTCCAGCCGAACATTTTTAACCCAAACACTCCTCCCTTCCGTACAGACTCTTGGACCATCAGCTCAAGAGCCAGAGGCCGGACCCAAAACACCAGCAGCCACGAAAAAACCATACGAGAACAACCTAGTACGTACCGACTCCCGCGTACGTAAAATAACCTCCATGTTATCACCCGCAATGCACCAAACCACCACGGCAGAGGGAGCTGAAGCGGAACCAACCGCTCAGACCGTTCTCGACGAAGGCTTCCACTACGACACAACAGACCGCGAACCCCTCAAAATCGCTTTGACATCCGTGAAGCACCTACGGGCTACCGTCCGCAATTCAATGCACAACTCGCTGACCGAAACCATCGCATCCCACACGTACGTCGGCCTCGTTGACGAACAACGCCGTATCGCGGCCGTCCAATCGGGCGTGAAGCTTTACCTTATAGACTACGGCATGTTCTGCAACGAATTCTTCTACCAAATCGGCCTAACAGACTTTGGAAACTTCGGCACAATCAAACTAGACCCAGCCCCTAAAATCGTAGATATCCTCCGCATAGCGGCAGATGCTGAATGCGAGGCCGCCACCAGCAATGATACTCAGCAAACCGAGGAAGAACGCTCCATTTTCTCCAACGCCCCCGAGATTGTCGCAAAGACATTGGTTGATAGACGAGAAATGCTCAGCGAGTACTTTTCCATCCACATCTCAGATGATGGCCACCTCCTCACCCTCCCCCTGTTGTTAAAGGGTTACTTGCCCTGCTTGGGCAAACTGCCGCGATTCCTCCTCCGTCTTGGCCCGTATGTCGATTGGACAAGCGAGCAAGAATGTTTTCGGACGTTCTTGTGGGAACTCGCGTCCTTTTATACGCCGGAGCAGCTACCCAGGCCGCCCCAGGCGGAGCAGCAGCAGCAGGGAAATTTGGAAGGAGACCCTGAAGATAAAGAGGATGAGCTTGTCCGAAATCGTCGAGCGCAAATGGTGCGCATGCTAGAACATGTTGTTTTCCCAGCTCTAAGGGCGCGGCTTGTTGCTACTACTAGGTTGCTGAGGGGCGTTGTGGAGGTTGCGGATTTGAAAGGATTGTATAGGGTCTTTGAACGATGTTAAAGGGATAAATTTGCATGAGTAGATACGAATTTATGATTTACTGACGGGAGATAGTTGCTGAAACGTGTCGTGCATTAGATTTAATGGGATGATTGAAGATATCAAGCCGACTAGTAGCCCCCAGAAAACTAACGCCAAAGAGGATATCCCAGAGTAGATCCACAAATAGTAAAATGGTCAAACGCTGTGGGTAATACATAGCCATGGTGACAACACCGAGAGTGGAGGAAATGCGAGCCATAGTAAAGAGCGCAGTGGTATCAAGTCGATAAACAAATCAGCATAATAGCTAGTCTGTGACTGAGTGTCCCAGTCTATCATTTGATTCGAGTACACTGTGGGAAATGTTAATTAGCGCATTGAAATCGACACGCTAATGGGAAAGGGACACTGCTATATTGACTTACGAGTACTGTTTCGTTAATGTCCCCTCACCACCCTTGGAAAGGTCGATGCTGAAAACGTAAAAGTTGCCATCACTCGTGACTACCATCACCTGGGGTGTGTTGCTGCTCATTGCGACGACACTCCGTAACGGACCCGCACTTGGGTTTTGCGCGGCGCCCTGGCTAGGCTTCGGAATTTTGAACCAGGCAAAGTCGCGGGCTGGCTCCCACATCTCGCTTACACCTTTGGGCAAGTACCCTCCAACCTTGGCAGCGAACACACCACCGACGTTTTGTGAGGTGCGGCGGAGCATGCCCATTAGTGTCCCGTTATGCTTTCTGCCAGATAGATCCGAGGACCCGTGTTCCTCACTCGCATTGTCCTCGTCCGGAGACTGGCTGAGGGAGCTAAAGCTTCTTCTACGACCTGTAGGCGGGGAATATGTTGGCGAACCTTCTTGGGGCGGCTGCTGGGACGGGGGTGAAAGCTTGAAAAGGTGGATCGTTTCAGTTGATGATGACACGCAAAGGAGGGTTGACGTTGTGTTGAAGGACATGCTGAAGATCCTCGACGGTATTGAGCCACGACGGAATTGATATAGCTTGTGGCCGTCCGGTACGGAAAACACTCGGATGATGGTTCCCTTGTCTGACGCAGTGGCGATGAGCGTACCATCGCCATTCATTGTAATGCATGCCAGCGGTGATCGATGCGCTTCAATCACGTTGATGGCCTCTAACTTCAGGGTGTCGAATATTAAGACCTCACCACTTGTTGGGGACACGTGAGTACTGCCAGGTGGCGCGTGAGCTGGAGGGTTCAAAGAAGGGGCGGCTTTTTGAGGAAGAGGGTATGCAAGGTAGCAGTTATCAGAGGACGGCGACAACGCGCATAGTGCTATAAACGGTCAGTCTGCAGTTACTCTTGGCCGCGCGCAGCAAAGGCTCACCATTCGGGTTCGGCGATGTCTCGATCGTGTATAACAACTTCATGGTTTGAATGTCGTACAGGTATATTTGGTCCTCTAGGACAATAACCAGTCGTTTTCGATTCAGCTTGACGGCCAGGACGGTGGTTGGAAATGTTAATTCGCATATCGTAGATTGTCGCTATGATTCGGAGACAAGTTAATCATGTGCCAGGCCCATAGTAAACCGAACGAAGGGCATTTATTGCTCGTGGGCTCCAAGGCATGGGGTAGAGAGCTACAATACGGCATTAAAACCGAGACGAGGGGGCTACGAACCTTGGTATTTGTGATCTGAAGGCGACGCGGTGAGAGAATCAAAGCCACCAAAGAGGTCGAAAAGAGCATCTCGATGATGGCGATGTTGCCCTCTTTTGTTTCGTAGCTTTTGGCGAAGGGGTCTGTCGTAAATATACGGAATCCCTTGGAAGTCGCTATTTCGTGTCAAGAAGTGTCTCGGGAGCACGCGCAAGAAGCATGTCTTACCTACAGCCAGGTAGCTATAGTCCTGGTTAAACGTCACGAAGTTCATCGTCATCTTGCCGGTGACTCGACGCGGCTCACGTCACAGCTCAGCTTTGCTCTAATAGCGGTCTACAGCAACCTCCTTGTAGGTATGTCGCGAGATTATAGGATGGAAGAATAGGCAGAGAAAAGGAAAATGGCATAGAGGCGGGCTTTGGTTCCAGAAGCTTAGAGTGGAGGGGTTCGGCTGCGCCCATCACAGGGTCCGATGTGCCAGGAACAGTCAGCTGTCGCCACGCATCACCTGTCGCGCCCTGACTCGCTGTTTTGTCGCGTCGCGCGTCTTGGTTCTGTATGTTATGCAGGTTCACGATCGGAAGCCGACCATATATGGAGGAGGAGAGAAAGCCAGCTGCTGCTGCTCGAGCGGCTGCGGAGGATCTCAAGATCGCCGCCTTTCTGTTACCGCAACTTGGCGCTTATCGCGGCAGCCGATTTCGGACGCTTGGGCCACATCCAATAGATCGATTCCATCCCGCTTTTTTTTTTTCCCTTTGCAGAGAACTTATCCAGCTTCAACCCCACCACCCGAGAACAGGCGGTTGTGTGTCGCCATGGCCTCTTCAAAACAGCCTGCTAAGAGGGCAGCTCCCTCGAAGGCGGAGAAGTCGGCAGATCTGGTCATGGGAGTAAGTACTTCATTCTGAATAGATTGACCCACCGTTCGTCGCAGCCTAACATTCATTCTACTCCCAGACGAACAACAGCAGTATAGTTTCAAAAAGAAGCGTCGAAATGTTGTACTACCGCGAACCCCATTTCTTCCGGTCCTTCGTCAAAAAGCCCCAGAGACGTGCCCCTTTGATAAACCGTGGATACTGGCTTCGAATGCACGCCATGGAGGAATCCGTACGGCGCTTCATGAGGGAACCATCAGAGAAGCCTAAGTTTGTCCTTAACTTGGGATGTGGATTGTGAGTCGTAGATGAGAACACCCGCCGAGGAACAGCAGGACGAGAGCCGTATACTAAGACCAGACGCGTAGTGACCCCCTCCCATTTATCCTCCTCAGTACGGACCGCTCTTTATGTAGCCAAACAACATTCGTGGATATTGACTATGAGAAACTCATGCTCAATAAAAAGGCAGCGATCCAGAAAGCAGACGCTATCAAGGACCAGCTGGAGAATGTAGAGTTCAACTCCGATGAGAGCGCCGTGCAAGTTCGCAGCAGGCAATACGTTGCTGTTGGTTGTGATTTAAAGAACCTGGGTAAGCTGGATCACGTCCTCAAGAGCGAGATCCTCCCGGACGACTGCGCCGTACTTTTTCTTGCTGAAGTGTCTCTTACATACATGGACGTCAAATCCGCGAACGCGGTTGTGAACTGGGCTTCAAAATTGAGCAATGGTTAGAGAAGCCTCGCCCTGCATAACTATATTGTTAAACAGCCAAGGCTAACTACACCACGCTATAGACTCCCAATTCTGCATTCTAGAGCAGTTCTTTCCAGACGGCCCTGATCACCCGTTCGCGTCGACTATGATGAAACATTTCGGTAAGCTCGGGGCACCTCTATATTCCATCCACGAATATCCCTCCTTGGCCGACCAGGAGCGACGTTTCACGGAAGCTGGGTGGGCGCATGCACATGCACGCAGCCTTTGGGATCTATGGTCAGACGACGAGTTTGTGAGCAGCTCGCTCAGGACCTCGTTGGACTCTGTTGAGGTATTCGATGAATGGGAGGAGTTTGCACTTTTTGCGTCGCATTATTTCCTTTTGCACGCTTCCACGAGACAGGGACCCGAAGCTAGCGCCGTATCTCACAGTGGCTATGTGGACAACAAGTCAGACCAATTTAAGATCATCCCGAACTGCTGTTTGCCTACTAGTCAGCGGAGGTTTGGTGCCTTGGTTTTCGGAGACGAGGGCGTCCTTGGTCATCATTCTGGGTTGGGGTCACAAGCACGACTCGCAGACACCGATTTATACTCGCCGTCGAAAGAGAACACTAGAACCTCCATCCCATTCCCCGCTCCTCGCGATGTATCGGCGCGCATGTGCCATACTGTGACTAGCTTCAGCGACAGTGGTGATTGCTTGCTAGTTGGGGGTCGAACCTCACCAGCTGCAGCGCTCCAGGACACCTGGGTGCGCAGGAATGGTGCGTGGCATGCAGAATCCAACCTTCCAGTCGGTCGATTCCGGCACTCTGCAACAAAACTTACAGTCGACGGCGGTTGTGTCCTCATATACGGTGGGAAGACCAGCGATGGTACAACTTTAGATACCTGGCTCCTCTGGAGTGATAATGGGAAAGGATGGCAAATAGTTGAAATCAGCAACCCTATGACTGTCCCTAAGCCTCGCTTCGGTGCATGCCTGGGCAATATAAATGGTACATCAGGAGTACTTTTTGGTGGTATTGGAGCGGATGGTACTATACTAGAGGATTTCTGGACCTGGAAGTTACACAAACAGTCGGACGGATCTATCTTCTTGGAGCTATCTGACCAAACTGAAAGCATGCGAAAGTTTTCTCCAGAGTACGAGGTTCTCCCACGATTTGGCGCTACCGTGACTTCTGCCTCGTGGGGGTTGGTCGTGGCTGGTGGTGTTATTCCCCGACGCATTGTTCCATCCCACTGCGAGATTCTGCTCCTTGACTCGACGGAGCTGCTCAAGTGCATTGAAGGTAGTTCTCCCATAGGCACACCGGTTCTGTCCACGATAGGGCTAAGCTCTGCTTTCGGCGGGCCACGACCCTTACTAGTGGGGCACGCATCATGCGAGGTCAGCCCTACCCAGGTCCTTTTCCTAGGTGGCGGCGCCGTATGCTTCTCTTTTGGAACATTCTGGACAGAAGGTACCTGGATTATAACTGCAGCTGACTCCTCACTTGGAAACAACTGGGCCGTGGTCCGTGCCGAAAACGCCCAGCCTGCGAAAGCAACTTCCAGTAAATCGGCGAGCAAGCGCAGGCCCAAGCCTAAAAACTATAAATCCACCACCATAATGGCTCCTATTCCTCGAGTCAAACTTGGGACACCCGATGAGTTCCAGCAGATAATGGACACGTCCCAGCCCGTGATCATCGAGGGCTCGGAAATTGGGCCGTGCACTGAACTATGGAGTAAGGACTATCTCGTCAACGCTGTTGGTAATGACCGTAAGGTAGGATATCCATGCACTTATTCCTCCTCCATTCCTGTCCTCTCATTCAAGGCGGTTGTTATTAACGAGATATAATTTAGGTGGTAGTCCACGAGGCCGAAACAGAAAACATGAGTTTTCAAACGAAGAACTTTGCATACACCACCAAGGAATTCGGAACTTTCATGAATGAGGTGCACGCCGGTGGCCGACAATATCTCCGAAGCATTTCCGCCAAACAACCCGCCAAGCTTCCGGCAAACCTGGCTGAAGATTTCCCTAGTCTCAAAAACGACTTTCGGTTGCCGGAAGTGTTGTCCACTGTGGTTGAGAATGCGCACAGCTCGCCCCTGAGGATATCGGGGCCCGTTACTCTATGGCTTCATTACGACGTAAGTTTTCGAATAGCAAAGTATTTCGGGGCAGAACAGTATTGAAGCAGATACTAATCCCTTATTCAGGTAATGGCAAACGTCCTTTGCCAAATCCAAGGAGAAAAGCGACTCATACTTTTCCCACCAACCGATGTGCAACACCTTGATGTTCCAGCTGGGGCATCGAGTTCTAAAATAAATATATTTCAGAACCGTGCAGATGGGTCTATAGCTTCAATCCCGCACACTTCGCCCCATGAAGCGCGTCTCAAGCGTGGTGACATTCTCTTCATTCCCCCACTTTGGTTGCATACTGCTGCGCCTACAGGAGATGTGAGTGTAGCAGTGAATGTTTTCTTCCGCAATCTATCACAAGGTTACGCGAGTGGACGAGATGTCTATGGGAACCGTGATGTACAGGCCTATGAGAAGGGGAGAAAAGACCTCGAGAAAATAGTGAAGTCCTTTGGTGATATGCCGCCAGATATGGCGCGGTTTTACCTCCTGAGGCTTGCGGATGAAATGCAGGAGATGGCCGAACAGTAATTGGACCGTGGGCCAGTTCACCCTTCACTGTTGGTGGGGCCCTTACTGCCCCTGGTCACGAATCGTGCTGCTTCGGAAACGCATCCCCGTTGCCACTTACTTACAAATCCTTCTCCTTGCACGAGGGCTGCAGTGGACAGTTAGTGATGCGGTCGGATTTGTCCACCTGGCTGCGCCGCGCAGCGATTACCGCCTTGGCTCATGCAGGCAAGCAGCTGCAGGGCGTTGTGAAACCTAGACAACGCAAGCATTGTTTGACGATATGCCAATAAGATGGAACAGAAATCGGGCTGAGAGGGGAGAGAATTTCGGACGCAGCTGTGTTCACAGGTGCGGGCGCCAACACAACAGGGTCATATACGTCATCAGCCTTGGAAGGGCGAGCGGGGATGGGATGAGAAGGGCCGATGCTTGGCCCAAGTTACCCCGCGAGAATTAAACAAAGGCCACCACATTGGAGTAATAGAAAATAAGCATGTATATCAAAGGTGGCAAAGGAGACGATCCCGTTGCTGCAAGTTTCAGAGTCAACTGGATAAAATACTCGCCCTTGGACTCCTCGCGTTTCAAGTTACTCGAGATCGTTGCCGGAAGGGCTCGTGTGTCCCCAGGATAAGGGTACTATTGGATAGATTCATCTCAGATAGTCATCTGAACGGCAATCTTCTGATAGCCCAATACCAGGATTTTTGTCGATAAGATTTGAGGCTAGAGCTTTGAAACCTGGGGCTTTTGAAATCCCCACATATTCCATCCCCCAAAAGCACCAACAAAACTTAGTTATTAGGGCTGAAAGACTTGCCTCGTTGATGATGCAATGAGTCCTCAAGGAACCCCGATGAAAGCCCAAGCGGAGTAAGTTGTCGCGATCTCCCCCCAGCGCCCCAGAGGTCACCCAGAACCAAGGGTAGGCGCATGACTGTAGCGCAACCATGGAAACGGCCGATGCGCCAACCACCATCGAGGAGGGCCAGTGATCGAAGTCAAATCAGATGGCTGGAACGTTTATTTGTGGAAAGCCATGCGTCTAGGCATCTTCGAGCAGCAGTGAGGGGGGATGATCGCTACGGACAACAAGACCCCCTTGTCATTGTGTTCGCCGTACGCTGATAGTTTGGTGGTCCAGAGCCAGAGCCACAACCAAATTGGAGCTCCAGCCAGACCGAGACGCAGGTTCCTCCCGTAGACCCCATTGGGCGCGACAAGGGTCGTGCTGAGGTATTGGCGTCAAGACTTGCCAGGATTTCTTGTCATGGTGGTGTGGAGTAAAAACAGGAGATATACTGCGAATCCGAAAATCAAACAGGATGAGGTCGAGTCGCCGGCCTATAAAGTGTTAATGTGGCACGTTGACAGCGGCGGAAGGATTCGTGGGCATTTGTGCGTAGACTGTGATGTGGTAGTTCCGGCCGGATTTGGGGAAACCAGCGCGTAATACAGCGACGGATGCCGAGCACGAGGCATGAGCTGGATAAGCCGGGGAGACTTTAATTTCTCGAGTTCGTGGCAAGCTCACAAGGGGACGAGATCTTGGAAGAGTTGGATAGAGGCGAGTTATAGTGCGGGAGACTAACGGAGCCACTAACGCCTAGCCTGCTACCCCTCCCCACCCCCGTACTCTCGCGTCTCAGTCTCTTCTTCCTCTCGCCTCGCTCTCACGGCCGACACCAGCCCTCGGCTTGCTGCAACGATCGCGCTGACCTGTACATATCTTCTCTTCGTCGTCCCTCTCTCGCCACCGTCTTTTCTGTGCTGTTTTGCCCTTCCAATTGTGTTCCCTTCCACGCGCCGTCAGTCGCTGGTTTCCCTTATCGCTGATTCACTGTGGGGTTTGGGTCTTCCACTATCTCTGGGTGGGTACAACTTGGCCCGATCATCCACTTGCTCCTCATCACGACAATCAACTCCCTCATCACCTCGCTTCTTCCCTATATCTCTAACCCTCGACTCCTGCCTTGTCCCATGCGGTACTGACGCGCTTGTTTTAGTATAGACTGATTGAACTTTGGAGCTCGAGTTGAGTAAGTTGGTCCACGTGCTTGACCGGACGATGACCCAACCGAATAGTGAGATCCCCACCACTAACAAGAGGACCATCACCATTAGGCATTTCATTACAAGCTACCGGGCTTCTACAACGACCAGTCAAAATATGCGGCCTTGATTTCGAAGCTAGCCGCTTGTTTACGTGCCAGAAATTCATAGGACCTGGCAATTGACATTCATATCATCAGCATACCAGCTTGTCGTACACGGGCATCATTAAACATGGCAACTGTCGTGGTGCAGCAGCAGCCGCTGCGCCACACCACTCCTCCTCCTGGGTCGGTGTCTCCGGCTTTGAGCCTGAATAGAACTTCTTCCCCGGTTCCAAACAAACATATACCTGTCTGTCCGACCGGTCCGTCTCCCATCCCTTCGCGAACTAGCTCGCCCACCCCAAAAGAAGATGCCTATCTTCCGGCGTCCTCGCCTCTTCATCCTCCCGATGCATTTCCCAAAATTGCAGAATCGCCACCGTTATACTCGATAGAAATTGAGATACTGGAGGCTGCTGTCAAACACTGTTCCTCGCAACCCCTTCCAGACCCCAACCTGATGTTTCCTTGGTTGCATGGTCTACACCCTGAAAACCACCTGCAGATCGGGTTCTTCACCAATCGACGGCGCTCACTCCGGCGCACTCCTAAATGTTGGAGAGGTCTTACAATCGTCAAAGTGGGTGGGGACTTGACCACATCTAGGCTAAAAGGCGCCGTGGCTCCGGATGCGATTCTTGCGCCGTCAGGATTTGAGTTCCTCGCCGTTGATCCTCGCGAAGGGTTCTCGGTGCGCAACTTCCACATTCAAACTGCGAAGCTAGCCCCTTTATCCGATATTGTCGTATACGGCCAGGATGGCGTAACTGCGAAGCAGCTTCTAGATGTTGCGGGCAGAATTACAGCCGCACAACATCACTGGAGGCTCAGCTCTGACCATGACCAAACCTTGCCGTCATACAATACATTTATTGTCTCTTGTTAGTTCCAAATGTCGTACCGCTGCGCCACATGTGGTGAACTGAACGAAATCTAGGTCCATTTTCCGATATCGAACGAAGAGCACCCAGCTTGGTAGCTGTCAATTCTAGTGGACACCTAACAGACCAGGTCGTGGATCTCTGTGAGTCTTATTATAATTATTCATCATGTGCCATAACCACCCGGTCTAACAAACATACCAGTCCAGTTAGAGCGTTTGGAGATGTGTACTATGTCTCGTGCAACCGAGCTTTCGAAGAACGTATGGCAGGGCCCTACTCCGGATTATCTCCTGCAAGCTGGTACCTCTGGTGCCCCCTCAGCCGAATCCTTCGATCTGATGATTGATGCAAATGACCTTGCCGGAATTCCTGGTCCTCGTCATTTGGCGAACCTAGCTAAGCGCCTTGCGACAGAGCCGCAGCGACTGGAATTTCCATCATCTGGCTCCTTACTCCTCCCGTCTGGGGAAAGTAGGGATGTCGACGACTTGATCAACACCCTTCGGTGGATATTCTATCTCGCAAACCCGGAGATTCCAGAGACGGATGCCGAGGGGGACACCCCTATGGATGAATCTCCCAAAAAGTCACGAAAAATCCTAATTCACTGCCCTGATGGGTATACCGAGAGCTCCCTACTAGTCATCGCTTACACAATGTTTGCTGAAGGTATTCCTGCAAGTGAAGCCTGGCTTAGACTTCACAGAGAGAAGAAACGAAACTTTTTCGCTTACCCATCCGATGTCGCATTTCTGAGGAATGTGCAAGAAAGGATTCTTCAAGAGAGCCCTGCGAATCCCGCACAATACCGATTGACGGATCCTCGGTGGTTTAGCTTTTGCGATGGTTCTCTCCCGAGTCGAATTCTCCCCTATATGTACCTCGGAAATTTATCTCACGCAAACAACCCGGAAATGCTGTGGGAACTTGGAATTCGACGTGTTCTTAGCATTGGTGAAGCCGTTACATGGACTGACTCTGATATCGCGAAAATGGGCGCTGAAAACGTGATGCATATCACCAAGGTGCAAGACAACGGTATTGACCCTTTGACTGAAGAGTTCGATCGTTGTCTCGAGTTTATTCGTAAGTTCCTTTATGCCCAAATGTGCCTTAGGTTTCCAGTGTTAATGTGCCACACAGGCAAAGGAAAATCGGATGGTGCGGCTACTCTAGTTCACTGCCGAGTGGGTGTCTCGCGTTCAGCTACAATCTGCATCGCCGAGGTCATGGCATCTCTGAACCTATCCTTCCCACGGGCATAGTAAGTGCTACTCTAACTTTGTATCGAGATGTCACTGACATGTTTCCAGTTGCTACGTTCGAGCGAGAAGACTCAATGTTATCATCCAGCCCCATTTGCGATTTGTGTAAGCAAGAGTACCAATTTGCAAAACGCTTATCAAAACTGACTAGACCCACAGGTATGAGCTTCTAAAGTGGGAAGAGCTCCAACAAAAGAAGAACAAGCAACCTCTAAAAAGAGAACTCGAATGGGCAACTGTAGCCCGCGAGATCGCCCTTATGAACAAACCGTACTCGAGATAATTAGACGTGGGAATTGGCAACAACTACCTACCATCTTTAGGGCTCGCTACTACGAGAGCAAACCGTCTGCAGGCAGAAATGAATGAATGACGACACTCGATGCATCGATAATGTGAGGAATGACCGGACGAACTGACGAAACGAACCATCCTCTCACGATTTTATTTGATTTGATTTTGGCGTTAGATGGATTTGATTTACACGGATATTCCTTGCTCTCTTTTCACGCATGTAGTTATGGCGTGACACAATTACCCCACTTCGTTTTCGCTTCAAATTGATCCCATTTTATGTGACCATGTTGTCTTATCGATTTAGGGCATTTCGTTTTTTCCCTCTCCCTAAAGGTTTCTCTATGGTATATAGAGAAAGTTAATTTGTCTTCAACGGGATCCATCGTGGCTGGTTCCTGGAGACATCTTTCTTCTCTACAACCGAGCCTTTCTGTATTTCCAAAGGCAAATGTTGTCTGTACTCACCACCTTTCACTGGCTGACCTTGATTTTGTTCCAATATGTATTGGGATCGCCTTCATCAATAGGTATGTCAGGTAGTAATAACTGGGTAGTAAATAGTTGGCTTCCTCGGCAGGACTGATCTCAAACCGGAGCCAAAAATGGAAGGCACGAGCACCCCACCTACTTAAGAAGGAACTTTGGCCGTAACTGCAGACATGGAAGGAGCCACCGAAGCTACTTCATGGGTATTAATTGTTGAAGGAGCATGAAGTAACCGCGTGGGATTTTCTAGTTATAAACTTTGTCGATCATTTTCTTTGCAAAGTGACGTGAATATTCAAATGTATTTAAACTTGGGGGGAAGAAAGAAAATAAGTAGCCAAAAGTCACGCGCGAGACACAGAACATTATACAGTATAGATATACTCAAGTTAAAAAGAACGATAAAAAACAAAAATGGGTATATAGGGTATATAGCAATGGGCTGTACAGTTCAACGTACAATCCTGGGTGGCGGTTGCAGCTCAAGGTTCCTTTCTATTAACCGTTTTGTCGGCTCGTCCGGGGCCCAATTTGGGTCCTCGAGCTGTGGGTATTTGGAGCCCATTCTTGCCCTCTGGCTCAGAAGTGCATCGATAGCTCTAGGAAGGTGACGGTGGACGGCGTGATATAGAGGACTCATTCCGTTCTTGTCCTCCTTGCTCAGATCGGCCTTTGCTTCCATAAAGGCATCGAACTTTGCTCGCCACTCTAATTGATGCCTCCTGTTGCTGTGAGATGGGTATTCCTTTACCAACATAATCAATGGGGTCTCATTCGACAGGCTGCTGGGAGTATCAACTGGTATCCGGTCGTTCCTGGTAAACTCTTTAATGAGAGCCGCCCCTTCTTTTTGTGCCCACGCGACATGATGCAGACAAGTGTAGCCTGCGTTGCTAGTTGCCAAAAAATCAGCGCCGTGCTTCAGTAGCTCACGGACGACATCTAGACGGCCGGACCGTGTTGCAATCATAAGTGGTGTGAGGCCCGTTCCCGAAACGGCATTGATATTTACCCTCGCCTGTAGCAGACGACGAATTATATCCATATCATAACTATTCATAGAAATAGCACGGCTCAGAGGGGTCATATATCCCGAGTCTAACCCCTCTTTGTCAACATCTTGTCGGGTGTCCAGTAGTTTATCCACGATATTAGTGAGCTGGGACCGAATTGCATGAATCAATAGCCTGTCCCAATCTCCGTTCATTTCAACAAGCTCCTCGATATTAAAGTCTGCTCTGAGCAGATGCTGTAGATCTTGGGTGTCATTTTCACACTTTAGGATTCTTTTTATAATATCTGAGGACTCGCGCGGTAGAGTTCGAGGGGGTGGAGGAGGTTGAGGTGACTCTGGAGGCGTCGGCGGCGGCACTGGTACCAGGCTATCGGGCATAGGAACATAGTACAATTCTTCCTGGATGCGTCGAATTTGCCTTTTAACATCGGCGGCAGTCAATCGATCATTGTAATCAATTTCAAGTGTCCCGAGGAGCAAGTCGCGGAAGAGTGTCAGTACGTGCGTCGGGACTGGGCTGTCTCTGTTGGGCAGTTCATTCAACCAGGCCTCAATGTGAGGGTTTCGAATGGGATGATCTCTTCCGCGATGGAAAAAGCTATGGTCATAGTCAGTTTCTCCATCCATGTTTTTCCCTCGCCTCTCGTCCAGATCTTTCAGTTTATTCTCGCCATCCAGACCAAAGGCAAGGACTCGGACAAGAATACATCCCAATGACCAAACATCACTTTTGCGCCCAAAGCTGCCATTGCTGGCAAGCTCGGGTGATCGGTAAATACCCTCCAAATTATGCCCAAGGGGATATCGAAACGTTTCGCCTGACTCCTCGACCGAAGACGCCTTAATGATGGACTCCCCAAAATCCGAGATCTTCCAGTGCCCAGCACTGGACAGATCGGGGCCTTTAAATACTAGGATATTTGCTGGTTTCAGATCCATGTGACAACATCGAAGTCCTGGGTCCAATTCTTCCTGCAAATATTCCAGTGCACCGGCCAGGCGTCTAGACTCTCCAAGCAAGTCCTTAAAATTGATACGGCTAGATTGGTCCCGCAGGAGATGCTCGAGGTCCATATCCGCCCACTCGAAAAAAAGATTGAACTGATTCCCAATAGTAATAGTCGCAAAGAACGGCATGATTCCGTTATTTTCTTTCCTCCTCAGCTGTTTTCGCAGTATCTCAAGGTTATTCTTCTCTTTCGCAAAGTCAACATCCCTATTGGCGCTAGTGAGACGTTTACGAGCAATGTAACAGGGCCCCTAAAACAATCGGCAGTCAGTTCATATAGTATTTGGCAGCTGGAACATGAAATATCAACCTACACTACGTCCATCATTGTAGCAGAGATGCTCGGGATAAACGTGCTCCTTGGTGACAGTGCCGGCCCCTCCGTTCCCAATCACTTCCCTTTTAATAACAGGTAATATCCATCCCTCATCCAGTTCACGATGCTTGCCTTCTTCTATGTCAATCGGACAGTAGAAGCGTCGGTGGACAGAGAAGTTGAACCCTGACTTCCCAAGAAATGTTGGGGCCATCAACATATCCATATGATACCCGGGGATATTATCGTCGCTTCTATTCTCCGTCTCGAGAAAGAGGGCCTGAAATTTGCTCCATTCATTCCATTGGCTCACCACCAATATGGAAAGCGTCTGAAGGTAGCTTTTTTTGATGCGCTCTATATGACCCGGTTTGAATGCGTTGTATCTGTCGGCGAATGCCTTCAGGCGCGCATCGTCCCAGAATTCTTTGAGTTTCGAACGTGGTACGAACGGAGAGGCTTTGGGATCGCTATTATTTTGCACCATGACTTTCTGGAGCTCATCCCTTAGTGCCGATATATCGAGCTTTTTGTCCTTAAACCAAGGCATCCGCATCGTTAGAAGCTGACAAAGCTGCGCAAGTAGGATATGAAGATTGACGATCACTGAATACATGAACTACCAGTGATAGAGAAATATATAGTAGATTGAGAAATAATATGAATTTTTTCGAACCAGAGCGCATTGCGATAGGCGCTGGGGAAAGTGGAGGTGGAGAGTGGAGGAGGTTGAGGGTGCGGAGTGACGACTCGAAGGAGCTGAGGATGACTCGAAGTCACGAGCCCAAGAAACTCCCTCCTTCAAGCCAGGCAGCCTTTTCTTTTCTTTTCTTTTCTTATTTTTAGCCCGATAGTTAAGGAGGCTAGGCAGCAGCGGCATTTGTGAACTTCTTTATTACCGAAACAGCGTGGCTATGCGTTGGATGAAGCTCAGGTTAAATAGACAGACGAGCTTTAGCATTAAACATAGACGGTCTGTTATTCCGTCTCATAGCCTGTGTATTCATTCAAATACCATCTAACTACTATTAAGTGAGTGTCCTAGTGAGTTACGGCACCTCCCAAGTCCATCTACGTTACCACAAGAGGCAGATGGCGCTTCATGGTCAACGACTTACTAGATCAATCGCCTTCACAAACGCCAGTACACAATTTGAAATAGACATAAATTTCATAGCATGGAGACCAAATCCTAATAATGAATGTCTGCGGATATTTTAAGTGACGGGGTGCATCTGGTTAGATTCTTCATCGGTGTCCTTGCTGTGATGAAGACAGGGCAAAGCTGCAAAATGCTCTTTGACATGAGTAAATGTATGTTTTTCAACTATATTATGGTCAGTGAATTTTATCTTGTGGTCATATGGGTCAAATTTGATATTACATATTTGGTCCATTTGTTCGAGGGGGATCTGGCCTGTGCTCGGGACCTTCGCAAGTTAGGGTTAGCGAAACCAGCCCATATCAGAAACAAGCGCACGGTCACTTACAAATAGGAACACCAGCACAAATGCCAGGGCATCCAGACCGCTACACAGTATTAGCCAATTATTCTCGTAAATGACTCTAATATCACTCACGCAAATATGTATAAAAGGTAGCCATAGGGCCGTGTATTTTGGGCGTTCTTCGCATATTTATTGACAAGCGGAACAAGGCTAACGAGAATTGTAAGGCCAATAAAATTGACCATAACACTAAAGCTCATACCGACCTCTAGACAACAAAAAGTCAGTGACCCTTCACTAGTAGTACTCTCGGTTTTGGAGTGCTGCTTACCGCGAAACGCCAAGGGGAATACTTCAGCGCTAAAGGTAAATGGAACTGGTCCAGCCCCAATACCGTAAAAAGCAAGGTAGATGACAATAGTAAAGACAGCTACAGGCCCGGTCCTCTTGCCAGAATCTGAGATGAGATAGAAGGAGCTGATGGCGATGAGGCTTAAAAACATGCCGGCAAGAGACACCAGCAGTAATAGGCGCCGGCCCTTTTTGTGGTATCCGTCAATGTACCTGTGTGCTGGGATAGTGAACAGGAAATTTGCCAACCCAAAGCCTGTTGAAATTCAAAAGTCAGTAGAGAGACGAGTGTTATTAGCCCAGGCGAGAGTACTGTACCAAAATTTAGCCAGTTTACCTTCGCCGTATTTTTTGGTATAGCATTTCCCTCCTTAATGTCATTGAAAACAACTGATGAATAAAATGAGAGCACATTAACCTAAAATAATCAGTGTCAGCACATGTCCATTCGGTGGTTCCAATTTCAGGGACTAACGCCACAGAGCTGCTGGGATGCCATCACAATAAATGCAGCAATACACGCTCTTCGGTTGCGCTTGATAGACCAGAGTGACTTCACACGCTTGAAAAAGTTCAAGCTGCGAAGCTCTACTTCTTGATACAGCTCCCTCCTCAACCATTCGTCATCTCTCGACAATTTTCCAGATTTGCGCAGCCTCTTCTGTGACTCGAATTGCAACTGGCTATGGATTGAGTATAAGTCCCTACATGCTTGGATATCACTTCCACGCAAATGACGAAGACTTAAAAAGGCATCCGCGTATAGCCTTTTACGAATGAGAAACCGTGGTGATTCTGGGCAGAGGAAAGCAAGGAACAGCAGGATTATGGAAGGGATTGCGGCGGATCCTAAGATAACCCTCCAGTTCTCGTCGGCAATAAAAACGCAGACAAAGCCAACGAATATTCCGCTTGAAATAGATATTGTTTAGAAAACGCTTTGGTGGTATGGTACGTCCTCGGTGGGAGTGGGATATAAACTCACAATGTGTCAAAAACCTGCCACATCATAAGGAGTCGTCCACGTAAACGATCAACAGCAGCCTCCGCAGCGAACACAGGGGCAACCGACGCCTTCGCCCCAATCTGAAGGAATCGTTCCTCGTCAATAATCACCCAAATGGCAAAAGTTTATAGGTTATTCGTACCCCAATTCCGAGTAGCAGGCGACAAATCAGAAGCTCCTGCCAGTTGTTGCACCTAGCCGTCGCTAATATATGGCATTAGAAATATTGTAAGTTTGAGGGTGGCGGAATAACACACCTAACGCAAACGCTGTACAACAAATTCCTGATAAGAAAAGTGCAGGGCGTCTTCCAAACTGCCCCTCCTGCAAAGGGTCACTCAACCAAGTGCCGCTGATATTCACATGTCAATGCTGCCTTGGACTTATGATGTGTAGATTTAGACTCACATGAGACTTCCAGTAAGCCATGGTGCCGCATCGATAAATCCGCCAAAAACATTGTACTTGCCGCCGGGAATCTCTCTAATTTTTTCGTGCCAAAATGCGTCCTGCCAATGGAATGAACTCGCATTGATCGACGATTGCTGCCAGCCTCTTTATATGATCAGTAAACATAAAGAGAGAAGACATGAGTTTATCCATAGATATTGCACTCACTGGGTGATGGCAGCGCATGCCGTGACCAAAATGGTGACTTTCAGGTCTTTTGTTTGCTGGAGTAGACTTGAATTAAGCTCGAATCGAAGTGCATCGGCTTCGACGTTTGTCAATCCAGGCACCCCAGCTATATTATATGGATCTTGGGCAAGTCGTGCTCCCCTCAGAAAGACTTCCTTGTCTACCACGTTCTTAAGTTTCCGTCCGACGATGCTTTCATGGTTTTGTCGGTCGTAGAATAACGCGGCATCAAATACCAATTCTTCGGGGGTTCGTGAGCGTAAGGGGTGCCCATAGTGTTCCTCCCTGGCCCCAAACGCAACAAGAGTGAGAAACAGCCTCGTTTGACCAATGCCTCACACCGTGGCAGATGCGATGAATAGAGGGGACTGACTCACTCTTCTTGAAAGCTGTTATCATTCACTGCCATCACGCCAACGGAATATTCCTCGAGTGGCTGAAGGAACTGTTTGATTGTTTTGGTAAGTTGCCGGGCGTCGAAAGTATGCGAAAGCGAACACGCATATTGTTCTGCAAGTATTGGAGGAAATTTGATTATAAACCTCAAGTCAGCCTGAGCCTAAAGCATCAGGCTTGATGCAGATCCATTAAAATAACACTCGGGTTGCGTAGAGAAGGCAGGGATTTCATGACGAGGCTGCGAGGCTGCGAGGCTGGCAGAAGCTCGCCTCTCCAACCAAACAACATCCGCTCACCCTGATGTGTTTCAGAGGCTCGTATCCTAATGGGTGACATTAATGGTCTAAGACACAGAAAGGAAGGTCGTTAAACAAGTCCACGTTTGCCCCCCCCCCAACATCCCGCAGCCCACATAGATGCTCAGTATGAAGAGGCTCAGCCACCGGTGGAGAACAGTGCCCAAATCAGATGCTGTGTCCCAGCTGCAGATGGCATCGGAGTTACTTGCGTAAGGAAGGTCCTCGGCGATGAGCTAACCGTGATAAAACGTCACTGGCACGTTTTGCGATGTAGAACGGACCCTGTTAGAGAAAGATAGAATTCAAACACTGCACCCAGTTCCTTGTAACGTCGTCGTCCAAATAACTATTCTTGCACAACTTCCTTGCCAAGTTCGAAAATAGACCTTTTCTTTTTCTTTTTAGGTCTTGGAAAGGTGAGCCCGCCTCTAGTAGTGGCTGACCGGCCAGCTCATGCAGGCGAAAGTTCAAAGGCTCAGGGGCTAGGGCTCCTCCGCCTCAAACTCGCCAGGATGAAGACGAGGGCCGAAGACGGGCAAAAAAAAGAAAAAAAAGAAAACATTTATTCGTCGAATTTCGAGTTCCCAAATCATGTGGCTCATCTTAACGACTCGATCATGGCATCAAAGCCAGTCTCTTTTCCTTGCTATCTTCTGACCATCCTTAAATAGCATACCGATGGAGGACCAGCCGCCTAGCACTAGGTATTCGCTGTTGTCGGGATCTATAAGCTGCCTTTCAGATAACTAGCATGAGCACAAGCCCTTGGAAATGCGGAGAACGAGCCTTGGGGCTTGGGCCCTCAACTCATTGGGGAACAAGTCGTGCATCCCCTCCTGGCGATGCAGGGATTCCTACCAATCATCACCTTGGTTGGATGATAATGTTGGTCATCCATACAAGCATAACCCCTGCGATTCGACGGACTCATGTAAATTCCGGCGATGACCAAGGGAACTTTCGGAACGGACCAGAGCTTCCCATCCAGACCTATCCTTCTCCAGGGCCTCAACTGTTGGCAGCTCTCCTACAACCACGTCACTGGCATAAAGAGGCTCTGCTCTTGGGCCAGAATTACCATATCCAGCACAAGAGGCAAGTCACCATTATAATCCCCGTAGCGCCTCCTCCTTTGAAATCGGTCGAAGACTCGATTTGATCCAGTTGCCCGGTCCCCATTCGTGACACCCCCAAGCCAGACCAACAGCGCCTGCAACCATGAGCACTCCATTTCGTAATGTTCTTAGCGAGGCTCTTAGCGACTATATCGCAATGGAGGATCTGGAAGTCCGGCTCCGCTTCCTTTTTCAACAACCAATCCAAGTCCGCGTAAGAACTCTCTGAGAAAGAGAAAGGCTGTCTCCCCATCCATTTCCGGCAGTGATGCTGACGCTTTTTGGGTAGAGTCAGAGTGGCAGATATGTTTTTGATGCGCCCCGAGAGGTTAAACTGGTACGCTCCCTTGAAACTATCAATCCTAGTTCAAGTTGCTAACGAAGGCCCGTTTCAGGAGGAGATTGCGTAAGTTAGCCTGATGCTTTCGGGTCTCTTCTTGGAAAGGCTTAACCAGTTAACAACGCACTGGGCGCAGTGATCTTCGCCGGTCAGTCCGAGCGAATTAATCATGACCAGTTATTCACAGGTGGCATTTTTTTTTTTCAGGTGGCAATCTTTTGTGACATTAAAGCATGGCTGAGTCGCCTGGAGAGGCGTTGCTTATCGGGCGTGTGTCTGCCTCAACATTCTAGTAAAGGGTCTGAGAACTCTCGTTCATAAGTTTATAAGAGCGTTATTATCAGGAAATTGGAAGCAGTCCAAGAGCGTCTGCTCATTTGTAGGATTCACAGAGATGTCGGTGTCATCACCCATATTAATGAGGGCCTTCACGTGGAGGGGAAGAAGTGAGACTGTGTCAACCGCTGACCAGAAGTCCGACCTTCCATCCCGCAACCACTACAAGGCAATCCGACCTCTGCTCCAATCTCCAGCTTTCATCGCCTCCCATGAAAAGTCCGACATACGGTTATATGACACAGTCCCGCAGCCGGAGCCTGTTGTTTTCAGTGATAGCGATGTTTTCAGAACCCATATCTCATCGACACCAAAGCCGCAGACCCGCATAGTGTAAATAAATTGCATCCGTTCGTGTTGCTGCACCCAACTTACCATACTCTAGTTCAATATGTTGCAGGAGCTCGCTAGATCCACTCTCGATCACAGAATCAGCAATGCGAAAACTGACGGACACTTACGACATTGACGACTCCTTTATCGATCATGCCCTCTTGTTCGGGGACAAGCCACGCACCTCAGATTCAGGGCATGGAGGAATGACAATACGCGAACGAGAAGATGGGGCCTTTGGTAATGCTTCTTGGTAATTGTGTCTGTCTTTTCTCTGCTAACCCTTGCAAGACATGCACTACAGGTTCACCTATAGCGAAGGTTATCAAGTCCGACTTGAGGGACCAACTAAATTCACATACCGGCAAGTCTGTGTCTTCCATAGGTATAATCCATTAGGGACTGGCAACCTTTGGATTTTCCTCCATGCCCGCCCCTATTCAGAGCTACAGACAAGATTAGAGAGGGAAATCGCGACTGCCCCAAGCGATGGAGTCCCAAATTGGTTTTCCCTTCACCTGCTTGTCTTCGCCACCTATATTGGAAATTGGAGATGGTGTTTGCGAAATCTGGGGGAAAGAATTGAGGAAGCAGTAGGTTCCAGACTGTCTCAATCTATGAATTTCCGTGGTAACAGATATTCAGGCCGATATCGCCCTCACAATGGACCTCTCCAATCCCAAGGTAGTGAGCAACACTGAGAGTTTGAGTTTGTTGTTACATCCACAAAATCTCGTCAGCGCAATTACACCATTCTCTTGTCAAATTGGGGTCACTTTAACCACTATTCGCAAAATGGCAGAAGCCAACGATCTATTCCTTTCTAAAGGGTTGATCACGGACAAACAACACCAAAAGCTCGCTGATGAAACAGCCTCCTATATTTCGAATCTAGAAGGGTATATGAAAAGTGTTGAGACTCTGGAGAAAAAGGTGAAGGGTTATTCGGATCTGGTACGTTTGATCCCCGTATGTTATCCTCGATTAGTACCAGGCTAACAACGAAAAGCTGGCCACAACGCTGACTCTCAATAACCAAGCTCGAATGCTCCAGCTGACCGACGCATCTGTCGAAGACAATACCAATGTTTTTGTGGTAACGATGGTCACATTGGTTTATTTGCCCTCGAGTTTTGTCTCTGTGAGTCTCCCAGCATAATACCGTCTGTCTCAACCTACCGACAGGGCTAATAACCGCGCGTCCAGGCATTTCTGGGGATGAATCTCTTTGATTTCGATGCACCAGAGGATAGAGATTTTGCAGCGTCGAAGAAATTCTGGATTTTCTTCGCCGCGACCCTGCCGTTGACTTGCCTTACCTTAGGGTTCTGGTATTTCCTCTCAAAGCATCGGAAGCGGGCAAGGATGCAGTTCAATCAGGTTTCTTGAACGCCATTTTCCAAATAGTTCCTTTGTTATTCTTTAATAATACATGTACATTATTAGAGTCGTTGTTTAGAGAGCCGTGGTTCAATTGTTTAGAGAGTCATTGCTTTAGAGTGGGGTTAGTTATTTTAGTTTTTTGGTCGGATTACGGTATTTCGGCCTGAGGCACCAATGTGTGTTGCCGTCCCACAAGACACGGATATTGGCATGAGTGCTCTCCAATCATTGCTAAATCGACTTCGTCCTAAGTATAGGTAGCTACCTGGATACTACCCTATCATTTCTGGATTCTCCGGTATCTCACAAGCTTCAGCTATAAAGTCCACAACCAACGTCATAACCACATGTGAGCTGGCAACATATATTTCTGTTCATATTCAGATCAGATGAGATTTCCCGCGCATCACTCGGACATACATACAGACTATATATATAGTTCACGAAAATGACAGAAACTGCAGCATTGGACCCCGAGTTCTCGGGTGCGCCTACAAAACATCGCAAGAATGATTCAAAACCCCCACGAGGACCACGACACATCACCAACCCACTACAAAGAGGCATCGGGGAATTCATAAAAACGAACATCTCTTCATCTTTACTTGATCAACATGATTTATCAGTCGAGGCGTTGGTCTCTTCTCTCCCGAAGAGATACACAATATATGAGCCGATGCTCCTCCTACCGGGGAATGCCTTCACCCACCCTCCGGCCTGGGGCTCTCTATATGAGCACTTAAGCAGAGACCAGCGCCAAACTCTATACTCATCTATTGCAAACTCCTTTGCCCGATTTGGGGTAACACACATCGCCATGAATGCCCCAATTGTGCTCACAGACACCGACGGGCACGAGAATAGAATGCGAAGCCCAGTTGGACTAGTTCCATTATATGGGGATTTTGGACCGGTTGCATCAGGTGGTGAGGAGAATACGCAACCATCTGAAGATGCCTACAAGCGGGGATTCTGGGTACGCACCGTCCAGAACCACGGAATCGTACAGATTTGGGCACCTTTATATACTATGTTCTCGAGGGGGAATATCACAGAGAAGGCACGGATTTTGGGACACGCTTCTACGTTTGAGGGGCTGGATGAAGCGTCACTTGGAGGGAGTCTTGCTGGCGACGTCGCTGTGGTTGACATGTATGCTGGAATTGGGTACTTTGTGTTTTCGTACTTGAAGCGGGGCGTGAAGAGGGTTTGGGGTTGGGAGATAAACGGGTGGTCTGTGGAGGGGTTACGGAGGGGCTGTGTCGAGAATGGGTGGGGATGCAGGGTTGTCAAGGTACAAAGTGATGGGAAACTTAGAATACCCGTTCCAGAACTGGTTGAGAGTTTGTGTGATACAGACCGCGTTGTCATCTTCCATGGCGATAACGGCTTCGCCGCAGGCATTATGAATGAGATTAGGGCGGCTATGGTGAACAACCGACGGTGCTGGACAAGCATCAGGCATGTTAACTTGGGTCTTTTGCCCTCATCCATTGCCTCATGGGAGAATGCCTGCAAGATCGTTGACAAGGACAAGGGTGGATGGATCCACGTGCACGAGAATGTGGATGTGCAGCTTATACAGGAAAAAGGAACCGAGATAACAACGGCAATGGAAAGGCTCTGGGAAGGCTCTGCATCTCCGAAGGTTAATTTGGAGCACCGCGCTGAATGTCGGCATGTTGAACAAGTCAAGACCTACGCTCCTGGTGTCATGCACTGTGTATACGATATCAAGCTGTCGTCGCATTAGCGACCCTCCGACAGCAATTCATCATGACAGTTATGAACTTATAATGCACTCTACATGGCAATCGGATACTAAGCCAGTCCTGGTGGATCATGTAGTCATTAGAATGGTATCTATCCTGGTATATCCTTGAAGCGTAAGTGACGGACCGCAATAATACACATATGCAAATATGGAAAATGTATAAATCTACATATAATCAAACTTATTGCTTTCGGAATTTCGCCGGAATGTTTGCCGCAACAATTGCCATCCGTTCAAGCTGCTCCAGTTTATCCATCGCCGCGTCCTCCTCGTCATGTCTCTTGAAATGCTCAATGTCTTCAGGGTGCGTGAGTTCCTCCTCCGTCGCATCCTCGCCGTGGTACATTTCGAAGTGATGGATCTCGTATTCGTACTCAATATCCCCGTGATGGCCAGGCCCGAACCCAAAATCCGGCAGTTTCACGCCGTCGGAGATAAGGTGCAACCAATTTTCGCGGCTGATGAACCCAGTATTCGCCGGATCGAAAAGAGTAAAGACCTCCCTCAGCGCTTCCAACTTCCGCTCCTCAGTGAGGCCCGCATTGGACTCGTCGTCCATGCCGTATGTTTTCCGTACTTCATCGGGTGTCCACGCTCCGGATGAATCGTAGTCGTGAAGGGTGAAGAAAGAGCCGCCGTCAAAGGTATCGATGTGATGTTCCTCTGCAATTTCAAAATGTGAGCAAGTTCACTGATATTTCCTGCAGGGTACCCAAGGTCCCACCTTGCATGTGCCGAGTCGCCCAATCTGCAGAGGGATCCTGGGGGCTGGAATGCGACCCGTGGGCATTCACCAAGCTGCCACTCAAGGCGAGCAGTGCCGTAGTAAGTATACCCAGCATTGTCAATTGCGGAGATTCCAGTTCGGGTAGGTAGAGCCAAGCTTGGGGAATAGGATGAGGACAAGAAGAGAAGAAAATAGCCCCAGTAACTTCTCCGGGGTTGATTGCGTATGAGGAGCCCCAGACAAGGCCAGACCAGCTGTTTGCATGGGGGTGTTTGCAGGGTTTGCATCCCGGCGTCTCCGACCTTTTTCCCGGCGCAGATACTATCAACTTTTCCAGCATCATACCACTAGCACCTACTTGGCTTGTCTAGTTCAAATTATACCCGGCTTCGCAGATTGAATATACAGACATGTCTGATTGATCGGGATCTATCACCAAACTCGCCGTCCTCGTCGACAGGGACTGGAATGTCCTGAGAATGCAGCGTTTATGGTCCCACAGCGCAGCGCCAACCTCCCACTGCCTTTCGTGCCTCAGCACCACCGCGGTGAAGGCGGCCCCTCGAACGGTGCCGACGACAAGCATGCGAAGATTACGTATCAAGGACTCGCCCACAGCTCGCTGTACCGGTTTCTTTGCAGCAGCGGCCTCAACAGAGGCGCCCGCAAATGGCAAGCACCGCCGGAGGTGGGAGGAAAGGATTGCGCCTGTAAACGAGGCGAATGAGTTGTTCGATGAGGGGGGATACTTTTTGGGTGCCCTGTCACCACTGCGAACCCCAAACCTTTTTCGAACGGCGTTTCAGACCAGACGATTCCACACGCTGCCGCGGCCTACACATAGAACCATTCGGTCGCCGATTACACAAACGCCGCGCAGACTATCGCATTTCTCGAGTAATGTCGGTCTCGATACAGAAGGAGTGGATCCGGCTGTTCAAGAGCTAGAAGCTGAAAAGTTGGCTCCGATAGAGGAAGCAGACGATGATTTTGACATGGCTATTGATGTAGAGGATGTTCCTGATTGGCTCAAGTCAGATGTGCTTCGCGCGAAGGCAATCAAGAAACTCGCATTGAAACAGCTTGCGATTAGGCTTGTATTACGCCCAGCGATTGCTCACAGCTATTTCGGTATCCTGAAGAATTATGATGACGACGCTTCCACCCCACAACTTGACTTGCCGGGTCTTCTATTCGAGCTAAACGCCACTCGCCGTAGGATACGGCAGATTAAGTCAAACCCAACGGCCAACATCGAGGATTTAACCCGAGGCATCAGTATTCGTCGGCTTAAAGAGGTGAATCATCGAAGTAGACAGCTTGAAAACCGCTTCCGTCAAGACACAGACCTATACATGGGCAATGAAATGCCTCTCGAGGAATATCTCTTAAGGCTGTCGAGTAATCTACTCGATGTTCAAGATCCTGATCAGGCTTATACCTTCACGAAAATGATCATAGCATTCACAAAAACCCGACAAAACGACATTGCCAGGCTGGTTATTAAAACGATACTTCCTTACAAATTTCAACTAAGCCCTTCCCTGATAACAGCAATTATTGTCTTCTTTCGCAAGAGTAAAGATCTGAACGGCTTCGATCTGTTTCTGAAAATGTTGGAAGGAAAGGGATACCCGATTGAACTGGGGAGTCTCGGTTACTACAAAGCGAAGACAGTCAATGGAATTGAAGTCTCAGTTCCCCCGGTTCACAGTGCAAATGTTGTTATCTACGCTGCACTCATTAGGGCTTGTCTGCGTTTCGACCAGCCTGATCGTGCTGACGCGTACCTTATGGTAGCGAGAGGCGCCGGCAACTTGGACGATTTTGCTATACTCATGTCGTATTTGGAATTCTACGCAATACGCCGTAATTGGGAAAAGGGACTACCCGTCCTGCAAAGAGCTCTGGCTTTCATTGCTTCAACGACCGAACACCCGCCGCAAAGGGTAGAGAGACTTATCAGAATGATGGTGCATCTATGTGATTCATGTCGCATGCTCGAGGCTTCTGATGCCGTCATTGAGGCTTCCGTTAATAGTGGGTTCAGCCCGGATCTACCTCGGAAACAAAAAGACATTGTCTCCGAATTCGATCCAGAATCTCAGAGGTGGTGGACAATAGCGGAAACCTCAGTACCGAGAGCGAACCTGACGAAGGCAGACCAATATCTCGAGTTTGTTAGGATCGTAGGAGAATACCTTGATAAGATGCCCATCCCGGGGGAAGGAGGGTCTGCTCGTCGATTGCAAAGGCTTTCCCAGATATATTCCCGCCGCGTTTTGACCTCGGTGGTTGAGGGAAGACTTGCTGGAAAGGCAATGGAAGAAGATACGAGAGAACAGGGCATCATTAATGATGCGCTCAAAACAATCCAAGCGGAAAACGAAAATGCCTCGACTTCCCTTGAAGGCACGATGGCTGCCCAACAGCAGGAAATTGTGACTCTCAGAAGTGAAGTCGCCCAATTGAAAGAAATGGTCCTCCATTTATCTCAGCACACGACTGCGCCGCGCACTAAACCAACATCTGATCCAGAAGAACTGATTGGCGATACATCGGCGCCCGCTTCAGGCGAAAGCCCTCCACAAAACGGACGAGCTGGTGGCGTGAGCTCCTAGATGAACAACTACGTGGCCACGACAGCCTGTATTATGATATCCTCTAACTACTTACGTATAACTCTACTTGGAGTCATGTATATCTTACACTCAGCTCTATTACCCTCTTTTTTTTTTGGCGACCATACTTATGGCCTTTGATACCTATAAACCTGTACATTATATCTATAGATAGAAACCTATTTTCTTGGCTAATGCCTCCTAGGATTGCATGCTTTTGTTCCAAATTGGGTCGTTTCATATATGGGACTGGAGATAGGAACTTAAATACGTCGGCTTATTTGTCCTTTGCCCACAAATAAGCACACAAAATCGGAAAAGACATCGCTCCCTTGTTGGCGGGTATATCATAAATGGAAAACATTTTGGCATTGACATGACGAGATGGCAAGCATAGTCTATAAATTTCATATCTAAAATATTCAACGTCTCTTTCCATCGGCACGCATCTTCTCTTTGCGCGAGAGCCTCTCCGCAGCGCGAAGAAGAGAAGAGCGAATATCGCCCTTCGGGAATGACGAAACATCGTAATAGGTAGGGGCAATATCCTGAAGCGCTGGGTTAGATAAATGAACGACGGAGTGGCAAACGGGATAAGGTGTCAGAGAGGAACTTACGATTAGCCATTCTGGTTTAACGGCTGTGACAGTTCTGATATAGTTCTTCGTGGTGAGGACAAACTCGTTGTATAGGACCCATTCGGCGTCGTGGGCGAGAACGGTCGAAGGGTGCAGGAGTACATTTTGGTGATCCTTGATGGTCATATACATGCTCTTGCCCTGTGTTTCCTTCTTGGCAACCTGCATGAAAAATCCAGCACACAGGGCGCGTCGAATATTCTCGTAGTATTTCTTGTCTTCAAAAGGAGTCGAAATCATTTCTAGCTCCTCGCGTTCCATGATTCGTAGAAGCTGCATGCGCACGTTGTCGGCGGACTGTAGGGCGCGCAGGGAAAGGAAGTGGTCGTGGCACCACTGCTTAGTATTTTCCTGCGCTTCGGGGCTCTTGAAGGCATGGTAGGCATTGAGAAGGGTAAGGTGGTCGCCGTCAGGGTGGGCAAACAAATTCTTCATTTCGTCGGCACGCTTGCGTTGGGATGCTGGTCGGACAAAGATCTGGGGTACGGAGAGCAAAGCAGTGATGGACAGGACCTCGTTGGAACAATAGAACTCGGGCGAGCTGATAAGCATGACAGCAAGCGCTGGGTCCAAGGGAAACTCTGATGCAAGACGTCCTAGCTGTGTCAGGTTGCCCTCATCGTCAAGACATGCGAGGTAGTTAAGCTCCTCAAGAGCTCGCATAAGCGTCTCCGGTGCAGGTGGGTCCATCAGATCGAAATGGACCAAGTCATCAATTCCCAATTTCTTCAGCTCAAGCACGGTCGACGACAAGTTGGAGCGTAAGATTTCGGGATAGGTCTGGTCAATTAATTCCTTCTTGAAGGCACCTTCTGTGTAAAGGCGGAAACATTTTCCGGGGCGTGTACGACCAGCACGACCAGCTCTCTGCTGTGCGGAGGCCTTGGAGATTGGCGAGACTAGCAGAGACTCGACACGAATACGGGGGTTGTAGATTTTCTGTTTTGAAAAACCGGGGTCGACAACATAAACGATACCGTCAATTGTAAGGGATGTTTCTGCAATGTTGGTTGACACGATCACTTTCCTGCCTGGCCGACCTCCAGGGCGGCGCGGGGCGGGCGCTGGATCGAAAATCTTCTGTTGCATATGCGGCGGAAGACTACCGTAAAGGGTGTATGTTTTCAAGGGACCTGCATCAGCCTCTCTAACCATTTCATCAGCCTCAAGAGATATCTTGCGCGCTGCATCTTCAATTTCCTCTTCTCCAGTCAAGAAGAGAAGAATATCACCATCGTCCTCAGTGGCATGGATTTGGAGAACTGTGCGAATGGCGGCTTCCACATAATCTTGCTCGGGCTCGGGGGTATAGAAGATCTCGACCGGATGGGTACGACCAGGAACGGCAAGCAACGGTGCGTCATTGAAGTAACGTTGAAACTTCTGCGCATCCAGTGTGGCAGACATGATGATGATCTTTAGATCGGGCCTGCGCAACACCACTTCTTTGAGAAGCCCCATAAGAACATCTGTCGACATTGTTCTTTCGTGTGCTTCGTCAAGAATAATGGTGCTGTAGCGACTAAGCTCATTGTCGTTCATGGCCTCTCGCAAAAGCATACCATCCGTCATGTACTTGAGCAGTGTCTTGGAGCTAGTCATGTCCTCGAAACGGATGCTGTAACCAACCTCCTCTCCAAGAGTGACATCCAACTCTGCAGCAACACGCTGAGCCACTGACATTGCTGCCACACGACGGGGTTGGGTGCAGGCGACCATCTTCCGTTGGGTTTGTGGGAGATCATCGAGCAGGACGAATTGGGGGATCTGTGTCGTTTTTCCGGATCCGGTCTCACCGACAAAGACCAGGATCTGGGATTCTTGGTACAGCTTCAAGAATTCATCTCTGAGGAGCGGCGGAAGTTAGCGATTTGCTAATCAAATTACATGGAAGGACTACGTACCTTTGTGCATGAACCGGAAGATCCCGACGAGTTTCTAGGATCGAGAAATACTTCTTGGAGTATGGTTGGTTGGTGAACGGATTGAACTCGTTATCTTCAACCTTTTGCGCCAGCGCAGCAGTTGTTTTATGTCGCTGCAGCTTGGCAAAGGCTGAGTTCTTGTTATCAGCCTCAGAGCTTGTGTTGCCGTTAGAGGACGTATCAGCGTACATATGAGCCAGATAGGGATTATCCCGGGGGTCAGCCCCAGACTTATCCATCTTCTGGCGTTTGGCGCGAGATCTGTCTTCTGAGTCTGAACGTCGATCAACCATGACGAGTTGGGGGAGTGTAGGGGCACGACGAGATAGTCGAGTCGAAGCGGCCAAAAAATTCACTGCGCAGTTTGCCTTCGGAACAAAAGGCGGCTCAGATAGGTAAGTGGGCCGGCGGTCGCCAGAACTGCCGCTTCAAGCTTCACCGCCCTGGGGTTTTGCCAACCCCGCTAAAGGAACAAAACAAGGGACCCGAAATATTTATAGGACTGGACCTTTTTATTAGGGACCACTGCCTGCTTGTCTGTTCAGTCGGTGACGGAGGCTCTCTAGGATCTGGCTTTACTCCTACTTAGCTTTTCTCAACGTCTATCGGTAACGCCAATGAAATCGAAGCTTTCATAGTTCCCGGTTGAAAGAAGCAAACTAGTACTTGAGACCAGCGCCAGCAGCCTTTCTCCACAGGTCATAGACCAGAGTTCCCAGCCATATTTGCTCCCAAATATCACTCATTGCCTCAAACGCAGCCTCTAACAACCTACCATGGATTCGTCGGAAGGAATCGTTCCGAGCTTCTGCATCGGACAGCATGAGAGCAAGCGCACCGTTCCAATTACTTCGGAGGTGGTACAACTGGCACATGAAAGTAATGTATGTAGGAAACCCTCTCCACTGGCCTTTGTTCCAGCTACTAACCCTCAACGTATAGTATGACATGCTCACTACTCCGATTACAACCCCCCACTTCCACTCGCGCGTTCTCAGTCTCCTTTCCTCTCATCTATCAAATATACGGGCTCTGTCTCGTGATGGCTCTGGGACGCTAATGACCACAGAGAATGTGCGGCCTGTAGTTGTTCCACAACTAGGACCGGCCGATACAAATTTAACCCCAAATGACGCAATGTCCCAGTTGATGGGAGTGACCAGCTCTTGGATTGATTTGTGTTCTCCAGATCCGTTGATTGCAGACATCTCCCGTCAGGTCTTTATGCTTGAGGTTGCTTACGCTGCTTTCTGTGGCATTGGTTACCTTTTGGTCCCAGGACCGAAACTGCACCACAATGGAATGCACTCGGAGGGAGTGATATACTACGCGCGGGCAATTCATGATGCGATCAACCTAGGCCCGTACATCCAGTTCCATATTTGGTTAAACATGGTCGACAATCAGGATCTCGAATCAGATGAGATGGGTCACCTTGCACCCTTCGCTAGGGAGGAGTTCTTTTATAACAACGGGATGGAACCACCGAGGATAGACCTTTTCGGTACTTGGGATGCCTGGGATGCCATTAGAAGAACCTGTAAATACCACTCAAGGCTTTTCGTAGGTAAGACAGATCTACCTAACCATCTTACTATTTATAGTTGCTCGTCGCTAAGATGCCTCCTTAGCTCTCCCGCTACCAAAACACCTACCGCCGATATGTGTGCAATCTAGGTGGCATTCGGAGCCGGTCCACCTGTTCACCATCGACCCCAACACATTCATAAAGAACCAGAAAGGTTATCCAGTCCTGGGTAAATCACACCAGGCTTTGATATCCTGGTTTATGCGCCTGCGAACGGCACCGTGGATCTTGCTTTGTGATGTGGGATCCCTCCCAGGTTTAGAGGCAGACCCATCCAGGGCGAATGTGCTCAATCTTCCTGGCACCGAATACCCGAGTCTTGCGCAGGCCGCAGCCTCAAACAAAAAGTACATTGATCAAACTCCACATCTATCGTATATGAGAAATCTCCAGCAGCGTCAACCTCCCCGAACCGCTATCGAAAGATTTGGCGTTGGTTACCAGGACTATCTCCAGGCACCATTACAGCCGTTGACCGTCAACCTGGAAAGCATCACTTATGAAGTATTCGAGAAAGACCCTATAAAATACGAATGGTATGAACGTGCAATCGCAAAGGCACTCACCGATTGGGTGGAACAAAAGAAACCCACTTCTAATCCGGATGGACGAGTGGTCGTTGCGGTGGTCGGGGCAGGAAGAGGCCCGTTGGTGACTCGGGCACTCAAGGCTAGCGCCCAGTCAGGTGTTGAAATCGACCTCTGGGTCGTAGAAAAGAACCAAAACGCATTCGTTCTCCTCCAGCGCCATAATGAGAGTATTTGGGGTGGAAAAGTAACCCTTGTCCACTCTGATATGCGTGCGTGGAAAGGGCCTCTTGTGCAGAAGAAGACGTCTACGCCAGCAGCACCTCTCGGGCAGACTCTCGGCATTGAAGATGACTTGCTCTATGCCCCAGATGCTAAGAAATCCACTGCTCCCTCAACTGAAGAGATCACCGAGTCTGTGCACGCCAAGATTGACATAGTAATATCCGAGCTATTGGGTTCCTTTGGCGACAATGAACTTTCACCGGAGTGTCTAGATGGCGTCAACCACCTACTGGATCCAGTGCATGGTATCTCGATTCCGGCCTCTTACACGGCCCATTTCACGCCAATTTCAGCACCAAAGCTCCATGCGGATGTTACAAATCAAACGATCTCGAATCCTGCAGCGCCTGAAACACCATATGTGGTCATGCTACATGCCATTGATTACCTTTCTACAGATCAGTCCGATCCCAACTATAGCAGTGTCAGATCTTCAGTCACGACAGTTCCGTC